TTTAGAGAGAGAACGAGGAGTGTGTGATGAGTGAGAAAAAATGGAGGAGCTTTATAAATAGCAGGAAAAAAGCCAGCTACGAGCCAGCTAGTATTTGATTTTCAGGTGCCATTTGCCAATACATAAAGCAAAGGCCAATCACCTTTTCTTTTCTTTTCCTTTTTTTTTGTTTAAATTTAAATACACATTCGTTTATCGACAAACTTATATGTTTTGCAAATCGAAGCACGTAGATATTAGGGGTCGGTTCTACGTGCTCGATTTACTATCTAAAGTAGTGTCGTTAAATTAAACAAGATTTGGTTAATTAACAATTTGTAATAATTACTATAAATAGTGAAAAATGAAGTAAAATCAAGATTTGATTTACTGGTCAATAGAATTTAGGGTTTTAGCACACCTATTCACTTATAAATTATTTTTAACACCTAGAATAATAATTATAAAGTATTTTTATGGGCTAAGTTGGTGTCAATCAAACGTCTAATTCAAGTCTTATTATTGTCCCAAATTAGATGTGATGGTGGGCTGTAACGGCCCAATCTGCTTTATAACTAATTCCACTATTATTAGTGATACTATATTTAATACTTTCCATTTGATTCAACTGCACACCTTTTTTTAGTATTTTACAAAATTTAAATAGGACAAATTGTGAGAAAATATGCAGATATAAATCAGATTAAAAAATTTGTTTATCTACTGTCAAATATTAAAATAAAATAAAATAAAATAAAATAAGATATCTATTTGTAAGCCTTTTTGTCACTCAGTCGTTATGGTGGAGAAATTAGAGATATATACCAAAGTTGCTTACATGATAATCAAACGTGCCTAATTCTTGCCATTAATTTTTCTCATGATTTGGGTTGGTCGGTTGATTAATTATATTCATCATAATAGAGATTTTATTTTATTTTTTTTCTCGTTTTTCATATAAAAGTTTCGGTTCGACTATCAAAATTAGTCCGATTTTGTTGCGACTTAACCCAAATTATTTTGCTATATTGTAAATTAAACTAGTTCAAAACTCAACTAAGATCACTAATTTTGAATGTCACATCAGCATTAATTTGCTACGATAATTATGTTGTTGTTGTTGTTATTATTATTATTATTATATTATTATTATTATTATTATTATTATTATTATTATTATTCAACCTTTAATTTCAAAACATTGCTGTCGAGAGTATCTAGTTAACTTTGAGTAAAATTGAAGTTTTCTTAAGAAAGTGTTTTTTTTTTTTTT